TATGTATGTATGTATGTATGTATGTATGTATGTATGTATGTATGTATGTGTGTTCTCCAAACCATTCAATGGGAGCACGTCTCAGGCGAAGAATACCTTCATCCATTTCGAGGAAGGAGACGCTCGGATCTGATTTTGCAGGCAATCGGTGCGCTCGAAGCCGAAATGGGGCGTTTGGGGGCTTTCTTTTTTCCTATGATTCAATCATCGCTTGCTTGCCGTTGGACGTTCCAAACACATTTTAAGAGCTCAGCATCCGAGCCAAGGAAGAGCAAGGCCTCAAGCGCGCACACTCATCTCCCGCTTTGCTGACTGAGGCTGGGAGGGCGTGACGGCTTTTCAACGGAGGTGAAGCAGTGCTGAGTTTCCCAGTCACGGGTGTATTTAGTTCGTTCGTTCGATGACACGCCTAGACTAAGGGATTTCCACGCGATTGGAAGAGTTGTTGGTGCGTTGCTTGATCTGTGTTTTAATGACGCCTTTGGAATGGATTTCGAGCGGTTGCCTGAACACACTTGTTGTCCGTTGCTTTCTTGTGGTTGCCTGTTGGCTTTCATTGCTTCTGGATTTGCAGGCGGTTTTGGATGCGGACCCCATCCTTTTTTGCTGGGTTCGTTCAGCGCACGCTCCAATGGCGCTGTAGTGCTTGCCAGTGCAACTGGTGGAAGCAAGGTGTTTTTTTCGCAGAGGCGCTGGGCAGAACACACGAGGTGTCCCGGCATTGCATGTTCGCCTTGTCCCGAATGAATCAAACAACGCAAGCCTCCCGCTTGCACTGTTCTTGTATCCGCGGTTGGCGAGGGATTGACCCAAAGCAAACGCACAGGCAGGTTGCCAAAGTTGTGGATCCCCGGTTCAAATAATTACGGCAAGGCCCATCAGGTCCAGAAAGCCCTGATTTTCACAACCCCGCTTTGGCAATTCATCAACTGGGTCAGAGCACGGCCCAAGCAGGCAGAGACGTCCGCATTCCACCGCGTTTCTGCGGGGGTTGGGTTCCTCTGTTTTGCGGGGGGCGCAAACCACCAGTCCAAGCCACCAATTGGAGGGAGGCTGACTAAAGCTGCAGGAGGTCTCGGGCGACAAACCCGTTTCTTTTTTCTTTTTTTTCTCCCCCCCGATTCGTAGAATGTGTCCAGGATTTGTCACGTGCGGCCGTGGGCTTTGGCCCCCGCTTCCCCTTTGTGGATCCTAGCCTTGCCTTTGTGTTCAGGTTCCTCTGGTTTGCATTGGTGGTTTGGGGTTTGAACCCCTGGCTCTTGTCAAGGGTAAAAAAGGGTAAATGGAACACTACCCGACCTTCAAACCGCAAATCTGATGTTTTGCCACTAACAACGATCAACCTCAAATCCACATCCCTGTTCCTTTTTGGTTTCGCTGAAAGGTCCTGACCCCAAAAAGAGCGTCCTTTTTTGGCGTACGATCAGGGATGAGCAAGTCAGGATTCCAAGCAGTAGACAGTGTGGCCCTTTCTGTATCACGTTGGGTTTGGTCCGGTTTTCAAGGGCATCAACCAACCAGTCCTATGCTTTGTCAAGCGGCCCCCCGGTGTTGGAAACCAAACAAAGGGGCCTATGGACGCTGTCGATCTCCGCAGGTGGAGCTGAAGGTGGGAGATGCTGAGGTGGGGGGAAAGAAGGGGGACAGGTTCGTTGGGGAGAGCTTTTCCGTGGCGTTGTAATTGTATGTTTTTGGGTTGGGGGAGCCGCAACCAGGGATCCCGAAACCGGGCCCATGTTAAGACATCCATGAGGCCTTAACCATGAGAATGGGGTGGCGGGGTACTATTGAACCAACCTACCCCCAGGATCATCGGAGAATCTTGCTTGCGTTTCTTGCCCCTTGCATTACTTGCTGGTTTTCACCAATGATTTGCCGCCTGAGCTTCTGGACTTAATATGTTATTTTTTGGGAGACACTCTCAGTGGTAAAGAGCAAGTGCAGACGATTTTTGCGAATCCAGCCAGGAAGTAATGCCTAGCAACTTTTTAGGGGATGACCCTCAACAATTGTAGCTCATTACCGCTTTCCAGGTTTGCTCTTTGGCTGCGCGGCAGCGCAGCAGCTCCGGCAGCACGGCAGCGGGTGAAACGGAGGCGACGGGAACTTGCAGGCCTCGAAATCAGGTCGATGCATTCAGCTGAAAGCGGAAAGACATCCGTTAAAGACACACGCTAGATCCTGCATGGACTTTCACTTACCCTTCCAAGCCAATCAAAAACACACCCAAATACCAGCTGACTTCCCAGTCCTTCTGATGCAGCTGTTTTCTGGTGTATGCCCTACGGAATCCTAGCACTCCTGCAGATTAACATGGAGCCCAATAGCCCAGCACTGGTAGAGGAATTTTCGCTTTTGGGGCTTCTTCTCTTGGTTCCATGGTAATCTGGGTTGCACTCTGAGACATTTTTTATTTTTGCGGATTTTGCTTCACCCTTTTTGGCACTCAGCGCTGTTTGGCTGCGCCTCCGGAGGGACACAGAGGCCCACATGCACAACGCATAACGAATAAAGGAGCCAATCAAAGCAGATGATAGGCCCCAACTTTCTCAAATACTAGACAAGAATCTTTGAGAAAACTAATCTGCTCTCTTGGTGGCATGTTTGAGGGGAGGGGAGATAGCCGTTGCAGTATTGTGTGTTCCCATGAAGCGACATCAGTTTGTAGTGACCTTTGTCTAATGCTCAGCGCTCCCGTTGCGAAAGCAGGGCAAGGGCACAGAAATGTGAGTGTTGCATTCTTGTCGACGGACGCCTTTCCCCCTAGCAACGTAGAACACTGAGAAGCGCGTTGAACAGATCGACGCGTTTTTTTGCCCAAAAGGGCAGACACGTTTGAGCTCCGCGCGCGGATCTGGCTCTGGCTCAGTGCGCCGCAGCACCACCGTGGGCGGTCCCTGTGGGCTTGCGCTGCGGGTGGCTTGCAACATAGAGACCCTTTTAGCCTCCATAGGTCCACAAGTTGTTTGTCGAGTTTGCTGCCAAAAAACCCAGCTCACTGCGCGCCTTGTCGGAGCTGCAAGACTGGTGTCGGCCTGATGAGGGCTGGGCCACTGTGACGTACGACGTCCCTTGGCAGCATTGCGTCATTCGCATCGCAAGGGGCTGCATTCTTGTTTGTGGAGACGTTTGTCAGGCACGCGCCCCGGTGGCCGTGGAGGCGAGCGACACCTGGCAGCCCGCCGTGGACCCTCGCACTCAGGATTCAGGAGGTGCTCGGGAACGAGCAGCTGCATGCCATGATCGTCATGCTTCAGAAAGCAGCTGCTTGGCGAAGGGACATTTGATTCTCGCTGGGCCAAACTTTTTGAAGGGCCGCTGTTTGGGGGGCTCAAGATGCACACGCACACACACACACACACGCGACTTGGGGCAACACAATGGCTACTGTAGCTCGTCTTCGCTGGTTACGCAAATGAGACGCGCCGCCGCAGAAGAAGACGCGTGGCATCGGCCTCTTTCGGAACGTAGGGCGCAGTCACTAGCGCGCGGCCATACAATTGCGCCTGCTTTCCGAAAGGTTTCAGCTGCTCCAAAGCGCTTCTGTTCAGGGCGGACGCGTGCGGCAATAAGCTTCGTTCTTGACGCGTGGGGCAGCTCCTTTTTTTCTTTCTTTGCGCGGTTCATACGCAGGGCCTCCACTGGGCTTGGGCTGTTGGAGCTGGTTGTTTCAGGGTCTTTCGGAAGCAACGCTTGAGCGCCACGCCCCGCCGCTCCCGGGTAAGATCTGGTTGGACTTTCTAGTCCAGGCCTCGAAGTGCGGAGACCAAGGTGTTTTCGTCATCGCGCGTTAGGGAAGCTGTGCTAGAAGCAGTGGGATGAAGCACGTGCCAGCACGGCGCACTCACGTTGCGCTAAGCGCTGCCCTACACAGCAATCTCTAGGAGCACCTCACATCATAGGCTTGGGCCGGGGTTATATATCTCACAAGCAGACGTCGCAGAAAAGAGCGCTGTGCATTTGCTTCGTTGCACCGACAGGCGCGCCCCTGCGCTGCAAAACAGGAGCAAACCCTACAGCCCAGAAGATCCCCAGAGTTGGTCTCTAACAACAAACCACTTCTGCGGCCCCCCCGAGACCCGGCAGCAAAAATCAGCGCCACCCGTGTCCAACAAGTCTAGTCTAGCGCGAGGAACGCACTTGGGATGAACATCTACACAATGGCAGCAGCGGGCACCTTTTTTTTGAGACGCAGCCTGTGCAAGCCAACTCTACAGACATGACAATGGCGCAGCTTAAAGGGATGGTTTCCAAAAGTTGGGTAAGCCCCTCGCAGCTTGGATGGATGCGCTATATATAAGCCCCCGTCAACAATAACGTTTACGCATTACCCAGCTAAGCTTGTCAGTCAGTAGCACGCCGGCAAGCTTCGATAGACCTGCCCCAAGGGAGAAACCTTGCGAGCAAAATGCCTTGCGGTAATACTTCACTTTGAAGCACTTAGCACACTTGGATGCCCTTACTTAGACATCCACTACTCACTAACATGTATTGTGGACATGTCTGAGCCTGGGGGATGCTCATAATTCGCTTGGTGTCAGCTGACGGAGCTTTTCGGAACCCGTAGGCTCATAGGTCAAAGAAGCTGGGCCACGGCCGCTTTACCTCCTTTTTGTAGCTGCCGAGACGCTGAGTGGTCTGGGAGCAGACATCGGTAAGGCAAAGGCTGTGTCGCTAACGGGGGGCACGCAAGTGTCTTGACAGTTCGGAGTCGGCTTGCTGTCCAGGACTAAGTTTTGTTTGCGGAGTGGCCCTGGTGCGACGCAGTTGTGTTGACTGAGAGTCAAGGCTTCTGCGCATCGAAGCTCTTGCTTGTCATTGCAAGTTTCTGCATTCGTGTTGCTTTTGCTCCGGGCCAACGAAAGCTCAGCGCAGCATGGCGCACACATGGGGCCACGCGTATGCCGACGCGGCTGTCCATGCGTCGGAGGCATGGCTCTTGCAGCAAGGGCAAAGACTTTGCGCAGGAGCTTAAGGCCTGCCTCACAGACAGCCGTCGCGGGGCCTATGGCACGGATGCCTGCCGTTTGCTACGGATTGCTCGGGCATGGATGCCGCTGTCTGGGCGTTGGAGGCGATGTCAGTCAGCTTCATTCAACACAGGGGGTCTGATATTGGCTGCGGAATCAGTTCCAGTTGTCTGTTTTCGGTTGTTTGTCGGACTGACACTGGTACTGAAAGTAAAGAGCAGAGAAGCAAAGAAGCACCAGCGACTGATGGACTCCATGGCGTCGCCAATTCGGGCTTTGGTAGAACAATGTGGCGAGGGCTTGTGATGCCTGTTTTGTCTTGTGACACAGCACGCGATGCATCTAAGGACGCATGGCGCGCCTTGATGGCGATGTTTGCCGCCGTGACCTAGATGCTCTGCCTCAGCTTTAGCGCGGCGGCTATGCAGCCGGCTTCCCATGTCAGTCGTTTTCGCCCGCTGAGTCTTGCCTGAGACGCAGCTGGTGAAATTCACAGGCGGGTCCCTTTCTGATTTTTGCCTTTGTTGACGCACGAACTTTCCCATGTATCCGCCATGGACTGCGTTGATGTTGGTGTGTTTCCACTGCTCATACCATTGTTGAACCATCATTTCGCAGCTTAGCGCCAGGTCTGCTAGGCTTTTTCAGGAAACCAGCAGCCCAAGGCCAGCGGAGGGCTTTCCTTCGGCTGAGCTTTTCTTCAGTGAGTTTGGGTCAGGTGTCGGCTCATCGAGCAACAGCTATCGCTGCCGTGCTTGAGCCATTAGGCGTTCGTTTTTTTGTCGAAGGACGTGTTTGGGAGTCATGTTTTTCAACTGCAAGCACACGTTTGTGCACGAACGCATGGCTGGCTGCCCGCAGGTTCACACTTTCATTTTTGCTTATCACTGGTAGCGTTGGATCTATAGAGCGCGGGCGACGTGCACGGGTGGTGTCAGCAATGCACACGAGGTCAGAATAGGTGTGGCCCTAGCCATGTGTATTCCAAAGTATGCCGTGTTGGACACAATCGATGCAAAGCTGCCACAGTGGGCCGTTCTCGAGAACGTGGTGGGATGTGTGTCCTGGGTCAACGAAATCAAAGGGCTGATGAAAGGAAGTTGCGAGGGCAGTACCACCTTGTAGCGGTGCCTCGGTCGCATGTTGCATTTGTTCATGCCATTTTGTTGGACAGGGTACGACGACACCAACTGTAACTGGAAAAACCGCAAGCTTCCAATCTATGTTGGAGAGCTCGCATTTTCTGTGCTTGGCAAGGCCGCGCGGTTTTGGGCCTTTGCTCCTGAGGTGCAGTTCTGTTCTTCAGATTTTCTTGAGCCTGTTCGACGTCCACGCGTTTGGTTTCTTTTACTTGCTGCGGGGTGCGCTGTGGCGGAGGACGCAGAAGGCATGGCGGGGATGGCATCTGCAATCTTCTCTAGCGTGCTCGCTGCAGCAGCACATTCATGACTGCGTGCAAGACAGCCAGTTCGGGCGGACGCCCAACGCACGAGAGAAAGAAGTCTTGAAGGCGCAGGCAGGCCTCGTAGCTGCCCATCTGAAAAAGAAGACTCTCACAGTGGATGTTTCGCAAAGCAAGGAGTGGGCAAGGTCTGGCGTCGATATGTTTCCAACGTGGGCTAGGTCGAGCCGCATGTGCATGGTGAGGCCTGAGCGTTGACCAGGCAAAGGTCTAGTGCTTGGCTGCGTCTTTAGGCTTGATGTACCGGGATGGCCTGCTGCCAGTCGCACGCAGCTTTGCCAGCCTGAGGTTCTGCACGCCTTTCCGCCAACCCTGCAACTGCCGACTTCTTGCAGAGAGTCGACGCTTCGTCGCCTTGTTGGCAACACGCAGCACGTCAAGTGTGCGGCGGTGGCTCTGTGTATGGCAATGAGAAAGACAGGGGCAGGTGAGCGCCAGTCGCCTGGCACAAAGGCAGCGGCGCACATGTTTCTCTTGCTGAAAGGCCTGGATTCAACTACACTTGTTGTCCGAACACAAGACCGATTCTCTAGACTAACAAGTAACGTCTGCCACGGTGATTGCAGAGCAGGGCGCGCCAATCGTTCGAGAGCGAACGGCGTCAGAGATCAGCAGCAAGAACAACAACACCAGCAGCAACAGCGGCAACAACAACGACGACAAC